TTCATGACAACGGGGCTGCTGCTCCTAGCTCCTCTCTGCTAGCTCCGTTAGCTCCGTGATGCTACAGCGGCTCAGCTCATGAGGAGAACACTACTTGAACTCGGCCGTGTTTGTTGTGTTGGTTCCTGGTGGACTATTCGTCCTGCAAATATAGGATTGATCTGCGGTTAAAACGGACCGTCCATGAATGCAGTTTCTTCGGTAAGTCAACCCTGCGTACTTTATGTTATGTTACTGGTGTTTTTATTAAGCTAACGTTAATGAATGTTTAGAGTTGGGGTAGCATTTGAGCAATCGTAGCTCCATCTGTGCTAACGATGCTATGCGTAGCATCCAAGAGTGTAAAACATTAAGTGGGATGCTACTGTATACCAAAAGGCTTCTGTGCGAGGTTGCTAAAATAAGGTCATCTTTGTACGTTAGATAGTTAGTTTGCTATTTAGGTTACTGTATGCATTGTTAAGGTTCATTTAAATTCGCTATGCTCTACTATAGCATAAAATAGACTAGCTAACGTCAACGTATTGTTGAAGAGAGGCTTAGTGTATATTAAATCAACCTCACAATGAAATATGTGTATCTTTAAAATATGAACGTCACATTTCAAGATAATAACGCTCCCTTAGATATTGTAATATGGTTTGTTGAACTGGAGTTATTTATTGCAGCTAACCGCCTATCCGACGAACGACCCAAACATTGTTGTTTTTAATATTATTACCAATGTCTCTTTTAATTGTATTATCCTCACACTTGAGAAACAGCCTCATCGTGGCTGTAGAACAGAACATGTAACTTAATTCCTGCATTTAAGGACGATGAATAGCGTAGTCAATGCTTTAGTGACAAATGATTTGTTTAAATATTATATATGACGTTATCTGTGACTTCAGTGGAAATTAAGCTTATCCATTGCATTGCATTTGTTCAATAGGTTTGTGTCTTACCCTTACGTGTGTGATACATATGAATATGGCATATGAAAACAAATTAATTTGACTGACTCATGAAAACCTCATCCAAAGTAACAGTAAAATAAAAAGGACCTACACAATAATACTCAATCAAACTGATACAGTATAAGGACTGTGATATCCAGCCATTTCTTAAGTATAACAATAAGATTATGACCTGTTTTTAAAAGAAGATAAAAAGTTGTTTGCATGTAAAGAAGTCTGTAACCCATGCATGTAACTTTACATCTGTTTGTTCAAAGTCTCCTTAAGGTGATCCAGACAGGCTGGACCAGAGGAGGAGAGACAGATCTGGAGTCCTAGCAGCAGAGAACTTCAGCACGGATTCCAAGGTACACCTTTTTCATGCTTTACAAAGAATGCATAAAGTAATGACTCCAATACACTGATAGACATGCCATTAAACATGACTGAATACTAGATCCCCTACACATCAGTGATGTTGAGTGGACTTTCTTAGCAAAAGGTTACATTTACATTTTACCAAGCAACATCACATAGTGAGAGCTGCGACCCTTTGTCTTTCAGTGAGACAACCGGACAGAGCAAGCTTCCACAGTTGCACTAAGTTTTGATAGCAGTTAAATATTATTTTAATAATACATTTATTTCAATGTTGATGAATTTAGAACGGTTTATTCATAATCTGATTATCTTTGTAGTACACTGTTGGATTTAAAAAACACATTCAAATAAAAAAATCATTATATTTATGAACAAACAAACACACCTCTTTCTTAAATAACACACTTGCTCAGCAATAATATGTTTTTTGATATTTCTGTTAGGAAAGGACATGCCTGAGAGACAGGGACTGCTTCACCATGTTCTCTTTCCTCTGAGGGTCCAGAAGAACATCCAAGAGGGAAAGGAGAAGCTGATGTTATGAGATTTAAGAGCAGTACAGGACATTCACTAAGAGACACTTGTATTGTAACACAAAGACCTGCACACTGAATAGTTTTGTAGTCTAACAGGAACTTCATTTGTGTTGTTTTGTGTTTTACGTTGCACAGAGACAGTGTGATTGTCAGGCCTATAAAGTTTGGCAAAAAAAAAGTCAGCTGATCAAATGCATTTGCACTTTGAGCTTCACATCCCTTGTGCCGCCGAGTTTGGAACGTCATAAATAAATGGTACCAATCTTCAGTCAGATGTGAATGTGTAATTTAACATTTTCAGTAAGGATAACGGACAAAAGGAGTGCAAATACAATTTATTGAAATGTGAACTAAAAGTTATCAAGCATGAACCATCACCATTTTTAAAAAAAAATAAAAACGAAATAATATACATAAGTTACACTAAATGTTAATCTGTTAATTGACAGGCTAGGCCTGTGCAGGTGGTAACAGCTATGCCCAGCATGGGCTAAGTTCTGTAGGTGCAGCTGGTGTAAGTCCTCCTCCATCAGGTCTGCAGGGTCTTTCCCTGCGAGGAGGACTCCTCGCAGGGAAAGACCCTCAGCCCTCCGGCCAAAGCAACAGACAGGACGTTCATAAAGCTGAGGTCTCCCCCAAAGTCTCTAATCATCCATCCTGTGAATATGAGAGGGGAACAAATAGTGTAATAGATGCTTTGGACAATAAGAAATATAAAGTTAACTGTTGAGTTGCTCAGTTTTTTAGATTGACAGGGTTTAATAACACAAACAAAAGGAGAGAAATAAAGATTGGTCTTTCAATACATTGTGTTGATTTTGTCTTTTGAATTGTTTGTCTGAAGTCAAGTAGCTAGAACTGTTACTTATAGTTTGAATGATACAGTCTGGTTATAATGTGTGGAGGAGGCATCACAGGTAAGAGCACCATTTGTTGTGTTCCATCCACAACACATTGATGTGTGTGTATTTATTTATCTAATATTTCTTGAATCATTACTGTCAGTCCAAAACAAGAGATTTTGTTTTGGTAACATTTAAAAAAACAAAAACATTATCTCTTTTCCACTACACTATCTTGAATACTTTAGTTTTTACGTCACTACATTTATCCAACAGCTTTAACATTATAAAGGTGTCACTTCGGACTCTGGGTAATTATGACAGCATGTCCTACTCAGAGCCCTAGAGTCTCTCGGGCTCTGGTCCTACTAGTTTGAGACTTTGAACAAACCAGACCTTCATCTATTAATGTAGAAAATAGTCGGCACATTACACCATTATGAAAGTAATAATTAGTTAGCTCATTGTTCAAATGAGCTCCAACTACAACAGTTAAGTCAACTCGTGCATCGGTAATAACAATAAATCAAATAATATAATAGAATAACTTGTGTCTACTTTAAATACTCTAACAACACTTGTTGCTAATTATACTAGCATACTTTTACTAAAGTAACATTAACATGTTCAAATGCAGGGCTTTTGTAAGAGAGTATTTCGTATAGTGTAGCATGGTCTACTTGACTTATCTAACCGAAGTGATCGTTACGTTACTTTGCAAACCGTCCGTCCCCCCCCCCCCCCACACACACACAAACAAATTTGAATTTGAACATTCGAATTTTTTTCACTTGAATTTTTACATTTTTATTTCACATAGGTAAATTCGGAGCAAAAACATTCAGATACATGATTTTCAAAGTAATTATTTTCAATGCTATAAATTCGGTGTCTAATACAATTCGAATACTTCTGTCTCTTGTTTGCTTCCATATTGCGTCGGCGTGTTCTCCTGCGTGTTGGCCATGTGTTGCACTGGAACCAGACACCACAAAGACTTCAGCCGAGCACGTACGAACTGCGCATGCGTGAGTGGCAATAACTCTCCTTACCAGCAGGCGGCGGTAGTGTGTATTCGTCATTCAAAACAGGCAACAACCGGAAAACAGAGAAGAAGAACAGACCGTGATATAAACAAACAACAAATAGCTGTGCGTTAGCTTCACCTTAGCATGTCATTTCATTTCATTTCAAACCTTTATTTAGACAGATAGGTCCCTTGAGATCACGGATCTCTTTTACAAGGGAGACCTACGGTGGCCGGCAGGTGCAAACGCTAAACAACGGCCAAAAACACACACATAAGCAGGAAACACCTGCAAATAATTAAATGAAAAACCAACAAACCCTGAAAACACATACAACAGAAAAACGCTGCATTTACAGAAATTATGCAAGCTAAAACTACAACACACAAACCCCGAAAACAAACGCAACAGAAAAACGCTGCAAATACAAAACCGATATGCAAAGTCAAAAGCACATACAACCGAAAAACACATTACAAAAAAAAAAGACATTACAAAAAAAAAACATTCCGGAAGTGCTTCAGGCCTCTAGGGGGCGCGCTACGTGGAACAGATCGATGTATCACCAGACATAGAGAGAACGAACAAGAGGAAAGAAAGTTCATTTAAGTGGAGAAAGATATAAGAAGGTAAGTTTTGTTTTGTTTTTATACATAGAGCGTCATATTTATATAGCTAGCGTTAGCGTGCCTAACAACTACACCAGCTGAGGGAGGAGAGCTTCACGTGAAGAGAAGATAAAGTGAGGGAAGAACATTGTAAAGAGATGACAGATCAAGTGCATGCAAATAACACGGAAAAAGGACATTTGAATTCTTAGCAGTTTGTTTATATGTATGTATTTGTGTATAGATGTTGCAACTATACAGAGCTTTAGCAATTACCTGTAACTATGGTCATGCTAATAAAGCTATTGAATTTAATTGAGAGAGAAAGAGAGAGAGAGAAAGTGACAAAATGTGAAGAGGGACAAAGTAATGACAGGATAGTAGTGTGCATTAGACATGCTCAAGAACAAATAGAGAGACATTCAAGGAGAGAGAGAGAACACAGATTCAACGGTGAACATGATGTATCTTTCTATTTATTTAGCTAACCACTATTTAGACTATGTGTTTTTGATTGACTTGATTACATGGATTTACTACATCAATGTATGTCTTTTCAGGCCGCCATGTTTTGTCCTTTCTGTGGCCAACATCTGGGGACAGTTCAAGTGTTCTGTGGCTCCTGTGGCAAACATGTACAGTTTTTGGCAGAAGTTGAACACAACAGTAAGTTCACTTTTTGTATTGTATCTGTTTCAAATGCAAGAAATAAGGATTCAACACACTACTCTGTTTAGAATACTAATTGCAGATGCACACTAGTTATCAGCATGAAGGACACATTTTTTCATTGTCTGTTTGTGAAATATGTAGAAGCCATCATTAAATTGTAGACCAACGCATGATTAAATACACAAAACAGCTTATATTATACATTCATAATTGTGTATTAGTTATATCTTTATAAAGAACATTATGCATTTAGAATCAGATTTTGAGACAGTGAGCCATGACATGATGTTTTCTTCTTTTTCTCCTTGTGTTTTTGAACTATAGAAGTTGCAATCATCCTCCCAGCATGAAAGTATTCGTCATCTTTTGCAGCTGTTGATATTTTTTGTTAAATTATTATCACGTTAACCAACAGTTGCCACGTTATCATAAAGATATACAGTATAAGATCATTTAATTGTCACGTAAATCCAGCTGCAAAATCCATAAGCAGCTCCTATATTTACAGTACAGTATTGAACATAAGACAGATTTGCGAACATCATTACCTGCATTGTCGAACGTGAGGAATTTCCTGTCCTGTGGACCATCAAATATTCTTCTCATTCTCAGGCATTCCATTAGGAGGGTCAGGAACTCACGCTTGGGACCACCAGTGTCCACTCCATCCTCAGTTTGTCCCTCATCATCAGTAAACTTAACCTGCATCTGATGAGAGGGGTCGAATGAGGCCCCTTTGAAGCCGCGGATTGCTCCATCCCATACATTGGCTCTATTAATATTGAACCTGCTTGCCATTTTTGGCAGAGAGTTTCTGCAACAATGTCTGGCGCAGTCAGGTATTCCTGTGCTGGGAAAGACAAGTGATGTATTGTAATATTAAATGATGAAGCTAGTAATAAGATTTACAGTATAGAATAAAAAAATTAAGTGATAAAAGTAACAATTAATAAATGTCCTCTGCAGTTTGCTCCGTTTCCTCTTCTGGCTCAGACTGGCTGTCAATAATGATAAGTGCATACACATTTGTGTAGTTGCTGCAGTGAGAAGACAGTTGAATAATTACTTTCAAATACATAATATATGCATGACAGTCATATTTGCAAAAGGATGTCGATCCTCTTCCTGTTTTTTTTAATACATTGGGTTCTAAACTGACAACAGCACTTTGTCATACTCCTGCACAATCCTTGTAAACATTTGAAATGGATGCAACAAACAATATCTGATCTTTGAAAAATATTTGTGGGTGTTTTTTGCATCGTCTTCACTAAGATGTTGTGGGTGTCCTTTGGAAATGTATGAAAGTATAATTGTTCTGCTTCCTGGCAATATTACCCACTGTGATTGGAGGCTATGCAAACAACCAAATGTACAAATAAAAATACACACCAAACAACTGTGTCACGATGCAACAGTCAACATCGTTTACCTATAGAAGGTGTTCTGACCCGGGGCAGACTGGACCTCTTCCTGGAATGGGGTTGGTTCTCCATCCTACTTTTACCCAATAAATAATAATGATGCAGTTGATCTAATGACAGTGTCATTAGCACACAAAGGTATTTATTGATTTCATGTTCACAAATTCAAACCTACATGGTATAATTACATTTGTAATTAGTCTTACCTGATCAGACGCTGGTTGTGGGTGCCTGAGAGGTCTGATAAAGGTAAACAAAAAATATATTCAAACTACTGTACTGTTAAAACATTCTGCTTCTTGTGGCACAAAATAACATGTTGACAATGTTTTATTTTACCCTGGCAAACTGTTGTCCATTCTGGGAGTGATCTGTTCATTTGGAAAGTCCCACACCTGCATACAACACACAAATGACTGACTGAAATAAAATAAATTCACTTTAATTAAGAATAAATGCCACGATAGATCCAAACTGACCACGGTGTCAGCAAGACTGTCTCCAGATGGCAACTTTGCAACAACCACACTGTCCTCGTCACTTGAAGAGGTTGTTCCAGTGTAACCTAAGAAAATAAAAGTGTCATGATTAATACTATACAAATAATTGTTCCCCTACGTCTGTACCTATCATCAAATGTTGGTTTGAATCCTGAATAATTGGATTGACATCAATCAGAAAGGATTCAATCGAAACACAAAATGTTTGTGAAATGTACATTATATTGTTGACCGTCCTTTTCACTCTCACATTAGGATTTAGGGCACAACAAACCAACATTGTTGTGAGAAAAAAGGTTAATTTAGAATTACAATCCTTAAGAGGGAATTTATATTTAGTTTGAACAGAAGGAAAGTTTGGAAGCTTTTGTTGATACTTAAATTTCATTTCTTCTGCCACTATTCATAAAAGACCATTTGACGTCATAAGTTCAACCACGAAGAGAAAGGAATGATGGGTGGAATGAATTGTGTTAAGAAATATAGACAGAACAACTGTTATGTTTACATTTGAACTATTATACAGTTTAGTGCTTTAAACAAGGGGGAATATATGTCAGAAGCACTTACAACTGTTTTCAACGGCTTCAAGAGTACAGATGTACAACGTAATTCGTTGGTAGGGCTTTCCAATGGCCTCTTTGTACATCTGTACTGTGAAAGGGGTGTCCGTTCCGGGGATATTTGTTATCACCCTCGCATCAGGGTACAACAAGACATGGGCACCATCTTCCAAGTCCTGGTTAAAGGCTTTCTGCTTTTTTATGGCAGCAGCCAACAGTTCTTCACATGCCCATTGAGGTTCAACATTAAGGGGAAGTGACCTCCCTCTCACAGGTTTAAGGCAGCCATCCATCCTCCTCATTACTCCAACAGAAATCTGCAAAAAGACAATAATATGCAAATGAATAAAACATTTTTTCGGACATTATATGAGAGTGTGGTGAGCAGATTTGAATGACAGATGTATTCATAATAGAAAACGTTGCATACCTTCACCAATTTCTGTTTATTTTTGGAGTTATGCCGTCCCTTTGTAAAAAAGGTCTCTCCCTCTTTTTTATTTCCCTATATTTCTGAAAGGACTCTACAGCTGAGCTTCCTGCTACAAAAAAACAGGAATAAAACATTCATTACTCTTCATTATGTTCAATAGGAGTCTCATCCTCAATCCCTTCTGAGGAACATCTTATAACACATTCAACAGTAGGTAAGCCACATAGTTTAGAGATGTATTTGTATAATAACAGAATTCGAACTTTTAAACCAAGTTTTCTATAAATACTTATTGTTTGGTAATAAAACGAACAACCTATTTACCTGCACTGGTGCTAGGCTGTGCACTTAGATGCGCACTAGTGGTGGGCATCTCCTCAGGGACTTTGTTAGCCACATCTTTTAGAAATGTGATGTCTCTGCCACAGACACCACAAAAGCCATGCGAAGATGTCACGCTGGAACCACAGAATGGACAGTACATCTGTGGAGAAATAAAATGTAGGACAGCAAGGTTAAGTCAAAAAGAGTGGATATTTTTCAGCTACCTAAATATTATAATAGTATTAAAGAACGGTCTTTCAATTAACTCATCAGAAGCCAACCTCCTGTCTATCCCCACACAAACCAAGCACCGAACCTGGGGGGACAGAGCTTTCTCCATCGCTGCCCCCCCCCTCTGGAACTCACTCCCATTAAACATCAGAGACTGCACCGACCCCCCCACCTTCAAAACACACCTCTTCAGACTGTCTTTTAATGTGGGAATAATGTTGTGTTGCTGTTTTAATATTTTAATTCAACTTTTTACATTTGATTTCCTTTTTATCACCGCATCGCATTTGCGGCTCAGGCGTGAGACCCCACCCAGTCTGTGTGATCTGCGTGTACGTGTAGGGAGGGCGTCCCGGTTCTATACTATATCTATATTATGTCAAGAGTTACATTTAGGTGCACAATGGCTCTTGCAAGCTCTTTGATCAAACACGCCAACGCTATCTACGTAAATATGACGCTCTATGTATAAAAACAAAACAAAACTTACCTTCTTATATCTTTCTCCACTTAAATGAACTTTCTTTCCTCTTGTTCGTTCTCTCTATGTCTGGTCATACATCGATCTGTTCCACGTAGCGCGCCCCCTAGAGGCCTGAAGCACTTCCGGAATGTTTTTTTTTTGTAATGTCTTTTTTTTTTGTAATGTGTTTTTCGGTTGTATGTGCTTTTGACTTTGCATATCGTTTTTGTATTTGAAGCGTTTTTCTGTTGCGTTTGTTTTCGGGGTTTGTGTGTTGTAGTTTTAGCTTGCATCATTTCTGTAAATGCAGCGTTTTTCTGTTGTATGTGTTTTCAGGGTTTGTTGGTTTTTCATTTAATTATTTGCAGGTGTTTCCTGCTTATGTGTGTGTTTTTGGCCGTTGTTTAGCGTTTGCACCTGCCGGCCACCGTAGAGACCTGCATCAATTTAGTTCCACATGAAACATAAAAACAACATAAAAAGAAACAATAGAGGACATCATATTTACATATTCACCAACACTTACAAACACCCATAGTGTCAGAAAGCATCTCGTGCAGACGTGCCTTAAAAACATTCAGAGAAATAAAATTGCTCAAATTCAAATTGGACTGTAGGCTGTTCCAAGCAAGTGGAGCTACGCACATAAAACCTGTCTTACCTAAAACAGTCCTTACCCTTGGTACATCTAACAAGACTACATCCTGCGATCTCAGACAATAGCTGCTTGCAACTTTCTGCTTTACCAGAGAACAGATGTAATACGGGAGTTTGCCCAACATAGCTTTATAAATAAAAGTGTACCAGTGACTGGGCCTCCGTACAGAGAGTGATGGTAAACCTGCCTTGGTATACATATAGCATATAGCATGTGTTCTTTGCAGGTGTTTGTTGAGGTTTGATTATGACTGATTTTATTAAGTAACACGTGTCGGGACAATGTTAGTAACTGTAGTGTGATTACTGAATTATTACAGTAACGCGTTAAACCCAACTCTGGCAACAAGAAACTGGCCTACCGCGGTGGCACAACAACTCTGAAAAGTCACCTGGATGCTGTAAGTAGTAGCTTAGCTTAGCTGTCAAGTTGCTATGATAAAGCTGCTTTATCCGCCGTTTTAAACAGTAACGTTACACATGATAAAAACGTGCACTTACTTTGCTTGGAAATAAATATAAATCTTATAAGTATAAATCGTAATAGTAGGCTATGCTCTTTCTGCGCTTCTGCTTAACAGCGTGTTGTCAGGTGTCTCGGATTCGGAGCGTGTTATGAAACCTTTTGGAAAAAAAAAATGTATTAAATTTTTTTTTTTTATCTCCATTCGAGAGGGGTCTGCCTGCAAACCTCCACTCTCAGGACAGTTCCGGTGCAGACCTCCACTCTCAGGACACCTCCACTCTCAGGACAGGAAGTGCACGCTAAGAATTCCAAAATAAAATCACCACTATCAGTACAGTGCCACTTTCCAAATAGGAAATGCACGCAAATACAAAATAAAATCGTACTGACACTTATTATCTATATAGATATATATTTATTTATATATATAAATACGACATCTTGTATTTTAGTTACACCCGCTAGACAACAGTGGAAGGTTCGAGAAACAACCGTGTTTGCCGGGTGCACCGCGGCGGAGGTGGGGAGGTTCCAGCTGGGAACCTCCACCCCGCTGCGGGACCCGTGGGACCCCTGGACGGTGCGTCTTGGTCACGCTTCATATCGGCCGGCCCGGGAAGGAAGAGACACGCAGAGTGGTGGAAGTCCCCCACCCTAACGCAGCACACCCTCCCGGCCATCAGAGTCGAACCCGCAGTTCGGAGGAACCGACCGCCAGAGCACCGGCACTAGGCCGGGCCGGCGTGGAGGCCCTTCGACAGTGGGTCGCGTTTGCCATTCGATCAGTGAGAGGAGAAAAATGCAACAAAAATGGTCAAAATCCGTTAATATATGGATGAGTGGGGGGGGGGGACACAGGCCGGGACACAGGCACAGGCCGTGGGGGGACACCCGAGACCGGGCAATGTCCCCGGTAGAAACCGAGTGAAATAGCCAAAAAAAATTAAAAAAAATAAAACCGGGGAAAAGTGAAAAAAAATAGAAAATAGGCACTCGTGAACCAGGCTGGGGGGGTCAAAAGGGCTTGACCAAGGCCGACCCAAAGTGCACGGTGGGCGGACTCATAACCTCCGTGATGAGTCTCCATTGTGATTTGAAAACTTCCATCAAACGAGTCCTTCGGTGGGCGGGAAAAAAAACGCGTCAGAATCGTCACTTCCTGTACTGACAGTGGAGGTGTCCTGAGAGTGGAGGTCTGCACCGGAACTGTCCTGAGAGTGGAGGTCTGCACCGGAACTGTCCTGAGAGTGGAGGTCTGCAGGCTCCGTTCCGAATATTCGCTGCTGATTACTACCAAATATCCGGAGGCCGAAAAATGGTATTCGGGACAGCCCTAGTGGACAGGCCGTGAATTGAAGTAAATCGTCTAGCAGCTATATTAAATCTGCTTCATGCTAACATTCTGAAGGAACACAGAAAGAGGGCTTTATTTTTTGGATGTCGAGAAATTATCAAAAAGGTTTTCTCCAGAATCATAAAACGTCTTAATTAAGGACCAAATTCAATGTATTTGCGTTCCACCACATTTGCCTAATTTTGAGACAGAGAAACCCCAAAAAGGAAGCATCATGCCACCATGTCTGACAAAAGTGAAACCAGGGTTGGTTAAAAGATTGAAATGTAAATGAGGGAAATTAACTTTAATGGTTGCTGTAAGCTTTGAAACAGCTGGCAATGGGATGAGGGGGGAGACAAAAAGCCCATCTTACACAGATGTAGTTCACACCAACAGCCCTGGGGGAACATATTAGAACAGGTTCAAGGGAAGCTAGGCTGGCGAAACAAAGATGCGTTTGGTTTATGGCTGTATTACGTGGGCAGACAAGGCCCCTGCAAGGAGAGACAAGTATTTTATTCTAACCTTTTATGCTCTTAACCTTTTTTTTATATTACCATATTTTATTCAATATGCTCCTTGGATAACTTTTTATTTGACATGTTTTATTATTTTCTCTTTGTAGCATTGTGAAGCACCTTGAGATGACGTTGTTTTTTTAAGTGTGCTATATAAATGAAATGTATTATTATTATTAAGTACATGTCTGCTACCAGGATTGTGGTCACATCTTTAAGTAGACGCTATACTTTTTTTATGAGGATAAGAAGGTAATACACTTTAGTCATGTTTTGAAATTGCTTAATAACTGACTTCACAGTGAGTCAAGAGAAAAAGAAAAGTGAATTAAAGAAACAGTTATAAACATATGTATGTGTTTAGAAGAAATTATTGGCAGAGCTGTTGCTTAGAACTCTTTTCATTTCATAATCACCCCAACGTTTTTAACCTGGCCACTGATGTTCAAGGATCAACTTGTTAACCTCCCTAAAAGCATTTCTGAATAGTAAGTATTTTTATTTCCAAAGAGAGAAATAGTGTGACCTTACAAAAGAAAAAAATTGATTGGGGTTAAAGGCCGACTGTATAAAGAATTTGACCTAAAAAAATGAAATTCACATCCTGTCAACATTGGTTTCTTTTATGAAATAAGGTTATTTTAAGGGCCTTAACACAGAGACATATTGTACTTAACTTACAACAATCTATGTTGTGGCTTAGCTTGGACATGTTGCTGTTGTAAAGGAGATGCAGCTTTTCCACTTTGCATCATATAATAAAGCTGAAGGTTAGCTAATCCTTTGTTTTTCCACCTGTCTCAATGGAAGTTGTGTAGCACTCCTCAGAGAGTGAGCTCTTCAGCTGAGCCTTGTTCATTACCCCTGCTGCTCTGCAGGGAGTTGTCTACCAAATGGCTTTATAATGGCTCTTTGCTTCCACTGTGATCAGCCTGCTCATTTCTCTGATTTCTGATGCTTCCTGGTGCAAAGAACATTGACACTCAACACTATATTAGTCTTCCAATAACACTGAACCTTTCACACAATCATGCCACCTTTTGCTTCATCTAAATGCAATCATATTCATTGCCAATCTGGTTCAGAAGAGTCTTATTAGTTATTAATGTGTTGCATTGGTATTAGAAGTCAGTTAGCAATATAAGTTGTATTCTGCAAAGGTAACCTAACAGAAAGAGCTTACACTAATACAATATAATTACTTATCATTTCGTCCTTGCCTCATTTCATTTAGCACACGCATTTTACTATTTTTTGCTATTTTGCTATTCTGACTGTAGTAGCGTCATTCTACCTCCATCATTGAGTCCTCTGCCCACACAGATGATCACGTTATTATATGTAAATAATGCTCAGCCATGTTAATATAGCTGTCCATGATGATTTATATGAGAGTGTTGCATGGGAAATATGTGATTCACTTGGTAGTCATTAAGAGTTAAAAATGATGCATTCAGTGCACTAAATGCTCACAAGTTAACAGGCAATACAGTTGATCTGGGTTTAAACAGGCATGCTGCTCTATGATGATGAAAGTCATAATATAATCACATCAAATTGAATCAATGTGCGTGAGTATTTCAAATATCAATCGCATCCTGAAGACCATTTAAGGAGCATCACTTAAACATTTACTTTTTACTCTTGTGTATTCCAACATAGAAGCTAGACCAGTTACTTAAGCGGGTCGAGAAATCTGTATCTATTTTGGTGTTGTTAAACTTGTGTGATGCACATCTGTGAATAACAGAGTTGTGAGCTTTTAAACCCACTTAAATATTTATTGTTGCTCTTTAAAGAAAGAGGTTCATGGGTTTCATCTATGGAGGTTATTCCCTATCTTTATTCAAGAGCGTGGTATTTAAATTTGAGAGCATACTTTATGTATTTATTTCCCTCAAACCCTGTCCTCACACTCAAATAGTGCCTGCTTGCACTTAGATGTGCTCTGCTTGTGCTCAAACTGTACGCTTGCACTCAGATATATTGCTGTTTACAGATTTTTTCTGCTCTCAGATTTATTCTGTGCGCGCTCGAAATTTTTGTGCAACAATCCTGTCAAAATCCCTCAACCAATAGGAAGCCAGGTGTCCTTGCGGGTACGTTCGCTTTATTTATTACAGCGTCCCGTAAGGGCGGTTACTCTTTGGTTTATAAATTCCCGCCCTCCACGGCTTTATAACATTACATGTACTTCACTTCGCTGTACAACTTTTTTTTGTGGGGGGGGGGGGGGGGGGGTAAGCACACTTAGTATATGTTTATAAAACGGACAAGTCAAATCAAGCAATCTGATGTTTCTTAGCCGTGATATAATGAGCGTATATCCCGGGTATAATTGTAGTTACTTTTCACAAATCAGTATCCCTCCGCGTCGTCCGTTATGAAACTAACTAACTAGGCTAACTAACAAAGCTTAAGATGGAAACATTTAAGGTTAACTTCGACCTCCGGGTGGCCTTACTATGGAGGAGTGGATTGAGAAGTGCCTATCTCCACAAAAAAAAAGCACCTAAACGACGTCTAATATGTTCTCTAGCTGTTATTGTTGTTGCATAGCAACCACCTCGCACTATGTTCTGTGCAGAAGGCAACGGAGGGACTATTTTATTTTGAACATCATTATTTAATAATAAAAACTATTTAAATTGGAGTGTGTATTTTTCTTTCACATTGTCAGCCACACGTGGTAACCGTTTTATAAATGCAATAGCTCACTTCAGGCCGTGATATACGAATATCTATACAATATGGAGTTGTCGACACTCCGCTTCGCGTCGGGCCGAACCAAACCGTAGCACAACAGTGCTGGAGCAGAACAACAGTCTGGAGGAAGAAGTGGGCCGGTCGGAAAATTCACTAGCAATCCGCCCTTCCCCCGTTGACAATTTACTAGCAATAACGAGGGCCGGTCGAGATTCCCGGGCTGATTTTTAGTCCCAGTACGCCACTGAACGTAGCTATTACGTAAGATGCTGGTATATATATACTAACTGTGCTTCCCCCCCCCCCCAAAAAAAAGTTGTAAATCAAACAAGTGAAGTACATGCTATGTTATAAAGCCGTGGAGGGCGGGAGTTTATAAACCAAAGAGTAACCGCCCTTACGGGACGCTGTAATAAGTAAAGCGAACGCACCCGCAAGGACACCTGGCCTCCTATTGGTTGAGGGATTTTGACAGGATTGTTGCACAAAAGTTTCGAGCGCGCACAGAATAAATCTGAGAGCAGAAAAAATCTGTAAGCAGCAATATATCTGAGTGAAAGCGTACAGTTTGA